GACCCCCGTATTTGTTGGTATTTTTAAAAGAAACAAAAAGAAAAGTCATGAAAATGTTAAACTCTGACCAACTACCACCACAACTAGCCTATCGACACGTGTTGTGTGATCGCCAATAACAGCCTTCGAGATGCGAAAACTCTAATATCTGTAATTTTTTTTTCGATTGTATCACTTAACGGCAGTGCAAATGACTACACCATACCTCGAAAATTCATGAGGAATAGGGTGCAATTGGTTGTGACCAAAAGCGGTCCATTTATCAGACGCGGTGATGACTGACTGTGGGTGAGACGACGACTTGCCTGGAAATGTGCTCAACCTCGAAATTTAACGGTGCGTGAACTAACACCATTGACTCTCGTGGTGGCAGACAAGCCAATAGTCGGCCGGTTTTTCAATCAACATTACTTCACATTCGTTGCCAAACCTGTCCACGAGTCCTTCACTATAGGAATTCGTCTTGAACTATCTAAAAGATTGATGGTTTCATTCTCTTAGATGCACAGGCTTTCGTTATGAGGTGAACTTGTAAATGAGCGAGTAAAGGTCATTTTACGCTTAGACGATAGAACAGGCACTGCCAAATTGCAGACAATGTGGTATTTGAAGAAGCCTTGCCGTTTGTCACATTATGCTGCGAAACAATTCTTTTCGACGATATATTTCTTAAGCCAAGTTGTGTCTACTCGCCACGCACACACGAGCATATGGGTTACGTGCATAACGCTGCGTGAATTGACACCACCAACTCGCTATCTGACGGACAAACCCATAATCAGACGGTTTATTATCATTTTCTCTAAATTTGTGCGCAGTAGTTTGTGCACATTTTACGCTGGATGTACACTAGTTGGCCCATCAAAAATATTGATTTGGTGCCAATAGTTCTACACTCTAAAATACACACGATTTCGCTGTGAGGTGAAGATATCAGTAATCGGCTCGAAGACAGTTGACTATTTTACGCTAGCACTAGCACTGGTAAATCGTAGACTAGTTGGTATTTCTAAAAGCCATGTTCCTTGATGACAAATAACTTACTGATTTCCACCTTAATGAAAGATATGGTGCTTGCTGGAGATAGGCTTTAATGCACATTAGGCTGTCTTGAAGATGTCAGCTCGTTGTGAAGAGGCACCTATTTTATTCTGAAGAAGTATTGAAATTCAACAACTAGAAAGGCACATGGAACTGTCAGAGAAGACAACACGAACGCAGTGCTGGTGCAGCATCCACATTCATATCATCGAAGACGTTTTATTGATTTGTTCAAGACGTCTTTGCAGACGGCATTTCGTCATAAGTCGTCAAGTTGGAACTAAACTTTGTGAACAATGTTGCTCCCAAGTTGACACACACGCACAACTCAACATTAGTTTTCTTGCCTCGTCGTATACCTTATGCACTGCAAACGTCTGAGGACCATCTGGCATTCCAAGCCATCCTAATACGCCCAAATCTATCCAACACTTCTCAGTGCTTACACCTCGCTTTGTAGAGGGATTAGGAGACCAAAAACCAATTAGCTCAGCGTAAAGTCAAAAGAATTTCTTTTTGGCTTACATCACTTAATTGACAACATTTCCAACGCTGTCAATTTAAAAAGCACAGCATGTTTATGCAAGAAATATGTTTATTAGATATAAAACAGCCTAGTGGAGTCGGAAGGTCCCCACAGGTCGCTCCGAGGCCGTTTAGCGGGCAGAATGCCTAGTTCATCTGGTTCATTATCTGTCGGTAGATGGCGCTTTCTCCGAGGCGAAAACGTTGCAGATGGCCATAATTCGACATTGCTTTGGCCAAAATTGTACTGAGGCTGCAACACTAAAAAAAGAACGGGCGCATTATCTGCACATGCATTTTCACTATTGACGCAATCGTGAACTAAGCTGAGAACTAGCCCCTTCTTACGTATTGATTTTTCAATGAACCCAACAAAGACACTAACTGATTTCGTGCATGACATCTTACCAATCAATGCATAATCGTAGATATGCCACCAAACGTTGTGCCCACTTATGCCAAAGAAAAGCATTCAAAACCAAACTGCCTGAATGAGCCCATCGACTTACCACTGGAAGAACACGCAGTAGATATTGAGGAGGTGGGGGGAAAATGGGTACTAGTGACTCCTTTTCCGAGGTTTCCACCTCGCTGACGGCAACATCGTCTTCGTCGACTGTGTCGGAATTAAACAGGGAATCGTAAAACACGTCGAATTCATATCTGTTATGGATTCAACTTGTGATTGCGAGCTCGGCAATGTCACGGATATCTGGACGTTGTAGTTGTGTGGAATCATATCGGCTTTCGTGGGAAAAGCTTTGATGAGAATTATGAGGAGGTGACGGCGCTCTCGCCGCTGATCTCCACAACACCAGTCGAGCATGACGCTCAGTGAAGGCTATCAGCAACCTTCTCCTCAAATCCAGCTTTGTTTTGAAATTTGCAGCCCATTCCCGTTTACGCAGAGATGACTCGATTATTCGCCTAGCTACTTCTTGCGTTTCCGGCGTTGCGAGCGACAGCGTGGGAAGATTGCGAAGAAATGGACTTGGAACAAGCCAGCTGAAGAAGAAGGAAGAGCACAACAATGACTGTGTGGGAGCTATGTTTGATCTCGCAGAGTAGGTGGATCAATCAGTGGTAGGGTGGGGAAGGCATGTGTGCAATAGCATGCTGTCGACAGAACTCCTTGAATTGTTGAGAGGTGAACTGTGATCTGTTGTCTGAGACAATAGTTTCCGGAATCCCATGGCGGCTGAAAATCTGAGAGAGAACCTGTAATGTTCTCGTTGTTGTGG